ATGATCGAATAGAATCTACTTTTCTCTCAGGAATTCATAATTATTCAGTCATTTCTCTCGTAAATATAGCACTTTTAAAATTCAGTATTAAATATGCAATTCTTTGGAAACTTTTATTGGACTAAATGTTTATTTTGTAACAAATGATAGTATATTTTATAACATATTTATTTATACTTAAAAGATAATCCACTCTCAATGAGTTTATTTTCACACAACATGTCTTTTTCAAGTGTAAAGCTATAAATTATAAACAAGGCAACGTGCTCAATTCACATACACCCTCAATACTGTATTACAATATACTGTATTCCGGATGAACACAATTGTTTCGAAGTATTGCCTGAATCACAGCATAATATATATTGTAATCATTTGAGGCACTGGTAGAGCAAGTGTTCAATACTTCCAGTGAAACTCAATTAGCATATCATAATTCATGTGAACAATAATTGTTGAGGCATTCAGTGTCATATCCCCACACCATCTTTAGTATGAGATGTATGTATAGTAGGAATAACTCATTACTTAATTGTTCATTCATTGAATATCTCAAAGCAAATGCTTATCACATATTCTTTAGTCAGTTGTGACAATAACTTAATTGAATCAAACATTACGTCAACTCATGAATGCTTTCAATGGGCTTTGAAATGAGTTTTTTTTGTTTTAGCTCTTATATCAAACAATATCTGATTATCAGAATCGTTGCCATAGGACTATAGGACTACAGATCATATTCTGTATTTATAGTGAACATTTGTTTTCATTATATTTCTATTTAAAGGCATAACATAGTTAACTAACTCTCATTTAATGCCTTTAAATCGTTTTAATCCATAATTGTTTATCACATTTGGTATTGAATTCACAGACAATTATGAGAGCCATGAGCTCCTCATCATATCTATTGATACCATGTCTGTGGCTCGAGTCTGACCCTCAACATCACATGTCATGTCAGACACAATCTAATTATACATCCTTTCCATTCATTTGTTACAGCAATGAATTCATCAGTTTTATCACATTATATGTCATTTCCATAACATTTTGCATTTCATTTCAATTGCTTTCCAATCAATTCATCCAATGATTCAATCATTTGAAATCCAATCCATAATCCAATCAATGAATTATCACTTCATTTCTCATTTCATCAAATCATACGACAACTCAATCAAGAGTCCAATCATTTTGCCATTCAATTAGCAAAACTAATGATTAATTGAGCAATAAATGAAAAGTTAAAATAAAAATTATATAAAAAGTGTTAATAAAAGACAAACAAAAGAAATGGTTTGAACTTAAAGTTCATTATTAATTCAAAGTCAAAGCAAATGGGAATATGTTTTCACATAAATGTTTGATTCAATCATTAATTTGAAGATTTCGTTTAAAAGACGTCAAGAGATTCAATGACTTTTCGTTAAACAAAAATATAGTGTCTTAAAGAAATCAAAATTTTTTATCATTTAAATGTTGAAATCGATAATTTCTAGAATAAGGGATAAAAACAAATACAATTATATATAATATAATTCTTCTGAAGGTATCACTAATTGTCAGATCAATAATTGACAAAAATTAGAATTAAATTTAGCTATAAGTTGGTTAGAAATCAAATGTTATCATATAAATGATTTAATTTTAAACGATTTATCTCTCAATAAATATAAGGTGTCGGGAAAAGGTAGATATTGTCATAATTATTAAAAATATTTGGAATTAATGCTGTGAATGATAGGTATAATTATAGTGATTAATAAATGAGCGAATTGTCGCGAAATGGGCGATAAGTGTCAGTAATATGAGACTCTCACAAAACGGAGAGTTATTTACAATAAACATAAAAATCAATTTATATTTTCATTGGTAATATCTATGCAATGATCGCATTATTGAGCCCTCGATTCATATATCCATTAATTCCAGCCGTCGTCGTCAGTGGCCGGTGCGGGTGCGGCCGGCTTTGGGGCGCTATTGGACGACAAGACACTTTCCCAATTGATCTCTGGCTCAGCCTTAGCAGCCGGTGTCGTCGTAGTCGTCCCAGAATTGCCCCAATCGTCGTCAGCTGCAGCAGTGGTAGTCTTTGCGGGAGTGGTGGTCGTTGTGCCCCAATCGTCCACTTTGGGCTTGGAATCAGTGGAAGGAGTTCCCCAATCACTGGTTCCCCAGTCATTAGAGCCGCCACCGGAGCTCTTGTCGTCGGAGCCCCACGAAGAGCCACCACCGCCGCCAAAACTGCCCCCTCGGCCACGACCTCTGCCTCTGTATTAATGACAAACACATTATGTTTAACACAAATCACAACAAAAATATAGCAAAACAAATGAGTGTAGCATCAGATGGCCCTATGCCTCGGTCCTCATCAGTTCGCTCAACAAACTGTCGGCCAAAGAGTTGTTTAGCATTTTTCACATCATTTTATACAATAAATAGACACAAATTCAAATCAAATACAAACCCTCCGCGCCCTCGATAGCCACCACCACCAGAGCTGTCCTTTTTGGGGCACTCGCGGGAGAAGTGGCCCTCTTCTTGGCAGTGGAAACAACCCCTTCCTCTGCCACCACCGCCTCCTCTACCGCCACGACCTCCACGTCCGCCGCGGTCACCGCCACTCGAGTTCGGACACTCTCTGGCAAAGTGTCCGCTTTCTCCGCATCGATGACAACTACCACCGCCGCCGCCACTACTGCCGCCTCCACG